AAAAAAAAAAAAAAATTAAAAAATTAAAAGAAATTAGCCAGCCATGCTGGTGCACATTAGTAATTCCAGCTACTCAGAAGGCAGAGGGCTGAAGTAGGAAGAACAATTGAGTCCAGGAGAGCAGAGTGACCTATGATCACACTATCACTCGCTAGTCTGGGTTCCTGAGCAAGACCCCACTTTTTCTTTCTTTCTTTTTTTTTTTTTGAGAGTCTTACTTTGTCACTCTGGGTAGAGTGCTATGGTGTCACACCTCACAGCAACCTCAAACTCTTGGGCTTAAGTGATTCTCTTGCCTCAGCCTCCTGAGGAGCTGGGACTACAGGCACCCAACACAACGCCCGGCTATTTTTAGACGGGGGGGGGTCTCACTCGAGCTCAAGCTGGTCTTGAACTCCTGAACTCAAGCAATCCACCCGCTTCAGCCTACCAGAGCACTAGGATTGCAGGTGTGAGCCACTGCATCTGGCCTAAAAGGTAGGTTTTAAACCATGCTGCATTGAATTGGCACTTTTTTTGTTGTTAAATCATTAAAAAATAAACTCATGTACATGGTAAAATGGAACCAGTGCACCTGGCTATTGCACTGATTTTCATTACATTCTGGGAATAAATCCCATTTGATCATGGTGTATACTGTCTTTAAAATGCTGCTGAATCGGGCGGTGCCTGTGACTCAGTGGGTAGAGCACCGGCCGCATATACTGAGGGTGGCGGGTTCAAACCCAGCCCCAGCCAAACTGCAAAAAAAAAATAGCCCAGTTTTGTGGTGGGCACCTATAGTCCCAGCTACTCGAAAGCTGAGGGTAAAGACTCGCCTAAGCCCAGGAATTGGAAGATGCTACAAGCCGTGTGACGCCATGGCATTCTACTGAGGGCGATAAAGTGAGACTCTGTCTCTACAAAAAATAACAATAATAATAATAAATGCTGCTGCATCTACTCAGGTGGTGTGGCGGGCCCCTGTAGTCTCATCTACTTGGGAGGCTGAGGGGAGAGAATCATTTGAGGCCAAGAGTTTGAGGTTGCTATGAGCTATATGATAACATGTCATTTTACCAATGGTGACAAAGTAAAACTTTGTCTGAACAAAGAAAAAAAAAGTGCTGTTTAGCTGGGCACAGTAGCTCAAGCCTGTAATCCTAGCACTCTAGAAGGCTGAGGGGGGCAAATTGCTTAACCTCAGGAATTTGAGACCAGCCTGAGTAGGAGCAAGACCTCACCTCTACTAAAAATAGAAAAACTAGTTAGGTGTGATGGCAGGCACCTGTAGTCTCAGCTACTGGGGAGGCTGAGGCAAGAAGGATCGCTTGCCTGTAGTCCCAGCTACTTGGGAGGCCGAGGCAAAAGAATTGCTTAAGCTCTAAGCCCAAGAGTTTGAGGTTGCCTTGAGCTGTGACGCCATAGCTCTCAACCAAGAGCAACATAGACTCTGTCTCAAAAAAAAAAAAAAAAAAGCCTTTGTTTGCTGAAACTGCTCCCCACTTGCCATGGGCCAGAAAGATGGTGCATAGGCAGGAGGTAGCAGAAAGGGTGGGGCACCAGTCTTGTAGTGAGCTCACTGCTGATACTGGGCACTGGGCTCAGGACCCCTGTGATTCCCCACAACAGCAGTGCTATCCCCACAGATAAGGAAGCCAGGGTTGAGAGAGGTCACAGAACTCATATAAACAACACAACTAAAGGTTCTAGAATCTCTTTTGAACCAGGAAGAGGAACACTGAAAACAGAACCGCAGTGCAGGCCCAGGCAGGCGAGTGCATGCCACACCCACCCCAGTGGTGCCGCTCCCTACAGAGCAAGCACCTTCCTATAACAGCTGGCCCTGGGTGGACTGGCCCTTGACCTCATTCAGCTAACACTTTTGTCTGCAAAGACAAAGCAAGGCCTTCCCAGACTTTTGAGTTTTCCCTGAAGCCCTAGGTTAAGAATCTCTGACATAGGGGTGGCACCTGTGGCTCAAAAGGCTGGGGCGCTGGCCCCATATGCCGGCGGTGGCGGGTTCAAGCCCAGCCAGGGCCAAAAACTGCAAAAATAAATAAATAAATAAATAAATCTCTGAAGTAAGGCCCAGCATGGTGGCTCATGCCTGTAATCACATCACTCTGGGAGGCTGAGGCGGGTGGATTGCTTGAGGTCACAGGTTTGAGACCAGCCAGAGCAAGAGCAAGACCCCATCTCTAAAAAATAGCCAGGCACTATAGCGGGCGTGTAGGTCTCAGCTACTTGGGAGGCTGTGGTAAGAGAATCACTTGAGCCCAAGAGTTTGAGGTTGTTTGAGCTGTGATGCCACGGCACTCCACTGAACTCCACTGAGCTGAGCGTGACAAAGTGAAACTCTGTTTCAAATAAAAACAGACACAAAAAAAGGATCTCTGAAGGACAACACCTGCTCTCCATGATTCCCCTAAATTACATGCCAGGGCAGGTAGGAGCTGCCCCACCACTACACAATGCTGTCATTACAGAAGACAATTATCCAAACCCACAGCCCACCGCCCCCAACCCTCCTCACTCTCCACTCACGCTTTCTTCCGTTCAGACTTCTCCTTCTTGGGAGCTACCTGTGCCTCTGGCTGCCGGCTGGCCTGGTTCTTGCTGAGGAACAGCACATGCTGGGCTTCTTGCTCCATGCGCTGGACGTAGGCCCTGTCAGATTCCCACTTCCTCTGCTTGAACTTAGGGATGGCAATATCTGGCTCTATTCCCTTAGCTTCCTTCTCCAGTGTGCATCTGAAGGCCAGCTGGGCTGAAGACAAGGGGAGGCCTCAGAGGAGCCATTGAGTGAGAGGCAGTAGGGGGAAGGTGGTGCCCTACAGGGTTTTGTGCTCATTCCCTCCCAAGGACCCAGGAAGGAAGGACCAGGCAGCTGGAAGCAGCCCAACTACAACAGCAAAAGAGGATCTAAAATGCCCAGTTCAGGGTATCCCTGGGGACGTGATCCCCACAGCCCACTGGTATGTGTCAAAGATATCCACTGCAACCTGACTGAAGTGGGAAGTCAGGACCACCTAGAGGTCAACAGATGACTGGCTGAGTAAATTCTGTTCACCCTCAGACTGCACTGCACAGCTGCTCAAGGAAGCCTAGTAGAGCTTGGAAATATACAAAGACCTATAAAATCCATTGTACTGCTGGACCCAGTGGCTCACACTTGTAGCCCTAGCACTCTGGGAGGTGGGTGGATTGCTTGAGCTTACCAGTTGGAGACCAGCCTAAGCAAAAGCAAGACCCCCGTCTCTACTAAAAATAGGAAAACTGAGGCAAGAGGATTGCTTGAGCCCAACAGTTGGAGGTTGCTGTGAGCTATGACACCACGACACTCTACCCAGGGTGACAGCTTGAGACACTGACTCAAAAAAAAAGAAAAAAAAATCCATTGTAGTCAGGCGCAGTGGCTCATGCCTATAATCCTAGCACTCTGAGAGGGCAAGGTGGGTGGATTGCTTGAGCTCACAGGTTCAAGACCAGCCTGAGCCATAGCAAGACCCATCTCTAAAAACAGCCAGCTGTTTAGCAGGTGCCTGTAGTCCCAGCTACTCGGGAGACTGAGACAAGAGAATCTATTGAGGCCAGGAGTTTGAGGTTGCTGTGAGCTATGACGCCACAGCATTCTACCAAGGGACACAAAGTGAGACTACTGTCTCAAAAAAATAAATCAATAAATAATAAAAAAATAAAAAATCCATTGTACATGAAAATGCAGGATCCACAACAAGTACAGGATGAAGGTATAGGCTTCACATCCTAAACATGAAAACGTTCATATTATTTGTGAGCCAAGTAATAAAAGTATAATAAAATAATAAGAAAAGTAATAGAAAGTGAACCAAAGTTAATACTTCACTTCCTATTTTTTTGGGAGGAGGGAGAGATAGGCTCTTGCTATGTTGCCCAGGTTAGACTCCCAAGCTCAAGTGATCCTCCTGCCTCAGCCTCCCAAACAGCTGGGATTACAGGTGCCACCACCACAGCCCTGTCTCTTCATCCACTTTATACCTTTCAGAACAATTTCCCTTTTACCAAGTACATGAGTTTATTTTTTAATAATTTTTTTTTTTTGAGACAGAGTCTCAAGCTGTCACCCTAGGTAGAGTGCTGTGCTGTCACAGCTCACAGCAACTTCCAACTCTTGGGCTTATGGGATCCTCTTGCCTCAGCCTCCCAAGTAGCTGGGACTACAGTGGGACTATAGACACCTGCCACAACACCCAGCTACTTTTTGGCTGCAGTTGTCATTGTTTTTTGGCAGGCCCAGACTGGATTTGAACCTGCCAGCTCCTGTGTATGTGGCTAGCGCCCTAGCTGTTTGAGCTACAGATGCTGAGCCTATTTTTTTCTTTTCTTTTTTTTTTTTTTTGAGACAGAGTCTCACTTTATTGCCCTTGGTAGAGTGCTGTGGCATTGCAGCTCACAACAACCTCCAACTCCTGTGCTTAAGCGATTCTCTTGCCTCAGCCTCCCGAGTAGCTGGGACTATAAGTGCCTAACACAATGCCTGGCTTTTTTTTGTTGTTGTTGCAGTTTGGCCGTGGCTGGGTTTGAAACTGCTACCCTTGGTATATGGGGCTGGTGCCCTACTCACTGAGCCACAGGCGCCGCCCCAGCTGAGCCTATTTTTAATAATTTAACAACAAGGCTCGGCACCTATAGCTCAACCGGCTAAGGCGCCAGCCATGTACACCTAAGGTGGCGGGTTCGAATCCCCAGCCCGGACCCGCCAAAC